CGCCAGCCAGTTCAAACTGTCTTTTGTAGCCAACCACCATGGTGGGTGAACAAAAGACCCGAGATAACATGGGGTAAGCTCGTTAAATTACAATAAAGCCTCATACAGTTTGCAGCAATCTCTCGAATCTGCCTGGTGATTGGGGTGACCGAGGTTGTGGCCTGGGACCCCAGATACCTGAGTTTTCCGGGGGACAAACACATACAACCCAAACATTCTCTCTCTTTCTATCTCTCTCTCTCTCTCGCTCTCCCCATCTCTCTCTCTCACTCTCTCTCTCTCTCGCTCTCCCCATCTCTCTCTCTCACTCTCTCTCTCTCTCGCTCTCCCCATCTCTCTCTCTCACTCTCTCTCTCTCTCACACACACACACACGCGGTTGTAAGTTAAGCTTACATTTTGCGTTGGGCTGTATTCATGCCTTTGGCCACACAAGAGTCTAAATCCATCCAGCACTATGTCTTTCAATCTTCTGCCTCATTCTCTTTTTTCATGACCCTGTCTATCCAGACCCTGCCATGTCCAGGACCTGAGGAAGCCTCCACCTTCCTCGGATCATGACTTGTAGCCCTCATCACCATACAGAAGGATATGAATGGGGCTATTTTGGTTCTGCCTGTCCCACGGTCCAGCACAGAGTCCCACACAGACCAGCAGTAACAGATACAAGTGAGAATGGAACCATTTGCTAGGAAATGAGAGAAGCCACAGCTGGGCTCCAGGGAATAGGCAACCATGCCACTATCCAAATGAAAGAAGCCTAGAACCCTCCCTCAGCTTGCAGTCCTCCACTGCAAGCTGCTCTGTCCCTCTACCTGAACCCCCAGCTTCCCAGGCCCTGAAAGTCACCTTCCCACTGAAGCTCTGGCCAGAATCAGAAATGGCCTCGGGGGCCATGAATGCTGGGGTCCCTGCTGTGCTAGACAGCTGAGCGTCGTTCCCCTCGAACTGGTTGCTGACCCCGAAGTCGGCGATCTTCACATGCCCATCATCCCCAAGGAGTAGATTGGATGGCTTGATGTCCCTATGAACGATCTTCTGGCAGTGCACTGCAGAGAGAAGCAGGTGATATACAAGCCTGGGGATGGCTGCCCAGTGCCCCTCTTCTGCCTTCACCCAGCCTAGGAAGCAAGCTACTGCCTCCCAACCCAAGTCCACTCTTGCTATGAGAGAAGCTCAGAAGTAGACAACAGGGCCACCTGCTCCATTATGCAAGTGAAGACACTGAGGGGAATCTTGGAAGTCTTTGGACTCCAAGACCAGTGCTCTTTCTACAACAAACAGCATACTTCTTGCTAAGGAGGGAAGTCAGAAGAAACTCGGGCTCTGTATGTGTGTGGATGTCCAACAACAATATTATCAATATACATCTCAATATCAGAACTTAGCATCTGTCTACAACCCCCATCACCAGCAAAACAGAAAACTCCTGTTCTAGCCAGGTAGAGTGATACATGCCTATAATCTCAGCTGAGACAGGAGGATTGCAAATTCTAGACCAGCCTGGGCTATATAGCAAGACCCTGTCTCAAAAAAGGAAAGAAAAAAAGAAATCCAATGTTCTTCCCCTATTGTTTTCTGATCTTAAAGATCACCTCAGAGCCGGGCGTTGGTGGCGCAAGCCTTTAATCCCAGCACTCGGGAGGCAGAGGGAGGCGTGGGTG